CTCTTACACTGTTGGTGGGAATGCAAGTTGGTACAGCCACTTTGGAAAACAGTGTGAAGGCTCCTCAAAAAATTTAAAATAGGGCTACCCTATGACCCAGCAATTGCACTCCTGGGTATGTACCCTAAAGACACAGATGTAGTGAAAAGAAGGGCCATATGTACCCCAATGTTCATAGCAGCAATGTCCGCAATAGCCAAACTGTGGAAAGAGCCGAGATGCCCTTCAACAGATGAATGGATAAAGAAGATGTGGCCCATATATACAATGGAATATTATTCAGCCATCAGAAAGAATGAATACCCAACTTTTACATCAACATGGATGGGACTGGAGGAGATTATGCTAAGTGAAATAAGTCAAGCAGAGAAAGTCAATTATCATATGGTTTCACTTATTTGTGGAACATAAGGAATAGCATGGAGGACATTAGGAGAAGGAAGGGAAAAATGAAGGGGGAGGAATCAGAGGGAGAGATGAGCCATGAGAGACTGTGGACTCTGAGAAACAAACTGAGGGTTCTAGAGGGGAGGCGGGTGGGGGGATGGGTTAGCCTGATGATGGGTATTAAGGAGGGCACGTACTGCATGGAACACTGGGTGTTATATGAAAAAAATGAATCGTGGATCACCACATCAAAAACTAATGACGTATGGTGACTAATGTAACATAATAAAATAAAATTTAAAAAAAAACTGATACTATGAAAAGTATAAAACGCTGATGAAAGAAATTGAGACGACATAAACAAATGTTAAGACATATCTTGCTCAGGGTTATAATGCCCATACTACCCAAAGCAATCCAAGATTGCAATCCTATCAAATGCAATCCCTATCAAAACACCAATATTATTTTTCACAGAACTAGAACAAATAACCCTAAAACTTATATGTTAAGTACATAAGATCCTGAGTAGCCAAAGCAACCTTAAGACAATGGAGGCATCAGAATCCCAGATTTCAAGATATACCACAAAGCTCTTTAAAATAAAGTTTCTGGAAATACTGAAAGGATCATTAACTCTGAGCCTCACTACAGGGTGATCTCGGTGGGCTGTGTGTCGGGAGCCCCTAATAGCAGCATCTTCAGGTCTTCCCTTGGTCGCATTCACTGGGGAAGAGGCTTTCACCATCCCCTGGAGAGTAGCGATCTGCCTGACAAGGTTCTGGGAGCTCTTACAAATTTTATTTCTTTGTTCATCTGTTTTGTTTATTTATATTCCATATACAAGTAAAATCATATGGTATTTGTCTTACTCTGTCTGGCTTGTTTCACTTAGCATAATACCCTCCAAGTATATCCATGTTGTCACAAACTGCAAACAAACAACAACAAAGAGAGAAACAGACTCATAAATATGGAGAACTGGGGGCTGTCAAAGGGGAGCAGAGTACGGAGATGGGTGAAATGGGTGAAGAGGATTAACACAAATGTCCAGTTATAAAGTAAATAAGTCACCAGGATGAAAATAGAGAATACAGTCAATAATAGTGTAATACACATCATGGTGAACATTCACAATGTACACAATTACTGAATTACTATGTTGTACACCTGAAATTAATTTAATATTATACATCAATTATACTTCAATTAGAATCTTAATTTTAAATTTTTAAAAATCTAGACATGAATTAGAAATTTTCCTTATAGAACACAGTTCTGTGTTGGTCCACAGAACTGGTCCATAGTTCATAGTTGGTCCAACTAGTTCTTCCTGCCTGAAAAACCAAAAATATTTTCCACAGATCAAGAGGAAGGGAACAGACATTTACTGAGCCTCTATTACGGGTTAGGTACTTCCCATTCGCTAATGTATTAATTTAATCTTTATAATTCTGTGGGAATGACATTATAATATTCTCATTTTTATAGATGAGGAAACTGAGGCTCAGAGATTAACAAAGCTAGAAAGCCGTGAAGCTCTGATGTCTGAATCCAACGCCCAAGCTCCACTTATAGAGCTGCCTTTGTTTTGATTAGCCTCAGTTCAAATAGATACTTCTCACCTTTCTTCTATGAAAGAGCTCCACTGAAACAGTTCTTCTCATTCATTCATATGAACCATGGCTCTCTAACCAAATACCGTAAGAAGTAAATAGAGTTATGTGGCATGAAAATACTCCTGTCAGGAGGCTATCTGTGTTGTGACAAGAGCACTATATAGAAAAATCCGAAAGCCTTACTTCCAGCCACTGGGTGACTCTGGACAAGTAATTTAGCTTTTTTGAACTTCAATTTCTTTAGGGGTACCTGGCTGGTTCAGTCAGAAAAGCGTGTGACTCTTGATCTAAGGGTCATGAGTTCAAGACCCACAATGGGTGTAGAGATTACTTAAATAAACTGAATTTATCTATCAAATATGAATATTACACTAAATGAGCTTTTCTTGAGATAGAAAACAGAGATATTGCCTATGTCATAGGCTTACTGTGAATGATGTATGTAGAAGTATTCTATGAGTGTAAAACACTAGGGAAATGTAAATAATTACCATTAGGATTTTGGAAAATGAAAGTTCTGACACAAGAGTTCTATGCCATACCACCAGTAGAAATGTTAGAGGAATTAAAATTTGCTCCAATCAAATGAAATCCAGTATGTTCAATAATATAAAATAAAATAAGCCACAGTCCTGCTCATTCTTGAATATTCATTTGCATCAACCTAGTAACATGTCTCCTTAAGAGAAACACATCCACTGTTACTCACTAATTTGGAGTGCTTTAATGTTTAATCCTTTGTTATGGAGTCAATGTTTATGTCTCCTCTAAGTTCATATGTTGAAGTCCTAATTCTTAACGTGATAGTATTTGGAGATGGGGCCTTTGGGAGGTAATTAGTTAGATGAGGTCATGAAGGTGGGGCTCTGGTCCAATGGGATTAGTATCCTTATAAGAAGACACACCAAAGTTTTCTTAGCGTCTACCATGCGAGGACACAGAAAGAAGGTGACTGTCTCCAAGCCAGAAAGAGAGACCTCACCAGAAACAGATTCTGCCAGACTCTGATCTGGGACCTCCAACCTCCCAAACTGTGAGAAAATAAATTTCTAAGCCACTCAATCAATGGTATATTGTTATGGCAATCCAAGCACAATAGGACATCATTTAATGAAGTAAGATTGTCCTTCATTGCTAATTACAAAAATTAAAACTTTGGTATATATGTCTCCATAATGCAATTCATACGAAAGAAAAAATAAAATGTATTTTTATATAGTTATAAATTTTTATTTCATAATAAAATGACAACACTATTTTAGGAAATCCCACCAACAAATATGTTATTAATTGTGGGAATCAAAGAGCGGATATCAAGACTTTTAGAGCTTGAAAAAGTAAAAAAAATCAAGCCAGTTTAAGAAATAAACAAATATGGGAGTGCCTGGCTGGCTCAGTCAGTAAAGTATGTGACTCTTGATCTTGGGGTTGTGGGTTTGAGCCCCACATTGGCTGTAGAGATTACTTAAAAAAATAAATAAAATCTTTAAAAAAAAGAATTATACAAATATGGAAAAATTATCTCTCTTTTCACCAATGTAAACCTAACACCTAGAACAGCGTAACAGGTATTCAATAAACCTATGTTGAATAATGGGAAAGAAAAAAAGAATTAATAAAGCACAATTTCAGTCACTTATTTTAATACTACATTGAGCAGGTTCAGAATGTTTTCTGAATTCCAGAAAGCAGGAATTTTTCTGATGTCCTGCTCTAGTCCCTTAGCCTAGAGCTAAGGGATATATATTCCAATATATACTGTGTGCAGTATATATTGGAATATAAGTTGGATAAATAGAATGCTTTTTTTATTTTTTTGTCTATCTAAATTCTGGCCACCCTTCAGGGCAACTGGGTGGCTCAGTCGGTTAAGTGTCTGCCTTCGGCTCAGGTCATAATCTCAGTGTCCTAGGATTGAGCCCTTCGCTGGGCTCCCTGTTCACTGGGCAGTTGGCTTCTCCCTCTCCCTCTGCCCCTTCCCTCTACTTATACTCTCTTTATCACATGCATGCACTCTCTAATAAATTTAACTAATTAACAATTAATTAATTAATTAATTCTGGCCACCCTTCAAGGAAAAGTCCAAATTCCACTTCTGAAAAGCCTCCCCTGCTACTCTACCCTGAAAGAACAGTCTTTTTAAACTCACAACCTAGTAGCCCAGGCCAAGAATCTAAGAGTCAACCTTGATTATTCTCATTCTGTAACACCTCAGATCCAAATCTATGAGCGAATCCTATCAGTTCTTTTTTTTTTTTTTTAAGATTTTACTAATTTATTTCTCAGAGAGAGAGAGCGAGAAAGCACAACCAGGGGGAGCAGGAGACAAAGGAAGAAGCAGGCCCCCTGCTGAGCAAGGAGCCCGATGCGGGACTCGATCCCAGGACCCTGGGATCATGACTTGAGCTGAAGGCAGATGCTTAACCAACTGAACCACCCAGTTATCCCCCTTTTTTTTTTTTAAGATTTTTTTTTTTTTTTGAGAGACAGAGAGAGAGAAAACGTGTAAGCTCATGTGCCTGGGGTGGGGAGGGCAGAGGGAGAGGGAGAGATAGAATCTCAAGCACACTCACTGCTCAGCGCGAAGCCAAGATGGGGCTCGATCCCACAACACTGAGATCATGCATACAGTACTGTCTGGCACACAGTAGATATTCAATAGATATTTGTTATTATTATCTGTAAAAATCATTTGCCAACTAACCATGGAAATACTTGAGATGTTTATTTCCCTGTTTCCTAAGATCCACTTAAGTAATTTTTCCTCCTATGTAACTTTTTCCTCCTTGGGGGACAGAGATCATGTCTTACACTCTTTATGTGTTCAAAAACCCCTAGTACAAATATTTGTACTAGGTCTGGTTCCCCCCAAAAAATATCAAAGTATTTTACTTTGCAGATGGTAAATGTCTTTAGAATAATTTCTAGATTTGTAGTAAAAACTGGCTATGGTATTTCTTAAACAGTAAATCACAACAGAGTTGGCACACTTACTTCTGGCATCTGTCTTATCCGACTCACTGAGACATAAATCATCCTTGGCATCAGTGCTTCCCTCAACACCATGTCTTGAAAAAAACTTTATATCATTTTCATCAATTTCATTCTCATCATCTATGTCATATTTCTGTAGCCCCTCTAGTAGCTTTACAGCTGCTAAATGGGCAAACCTGTAGGAAAGAATCAGTAATTAACAAAATTCACAATGTTCTTCAAATTGAAACTGCAGTTTGCACTTAATTTAGTGAATTACACTCTGTACATTATGTCACCAACCGCACCAGTAAAGGAGCAAAACTGCACCTGAAGGTCAGTGACAATTCAACATATATCCAGCTCAAAGAGTTACTGGACACTGAGGACAAATAGTCATGTAAAGGCTATTCCATAACTTTTATTGGCAAAAATCCAACTGGGAGAGGAGACCCAATATCAGAAGAATAGGTGGGGTGCCCCCAGACAGAACTGCTCAACTGAATAGAAAGCCCAGAACCACCCTACTTGTTACCTATACTTACTACCTTTTTGGATGGCCAAATTTAGATTTCAGAAATAGTTCTGGTTCCAGTTTCAGGGCTAATTATAGCTCTAGGCCCCTTAATTTTCAACCTTCCTCAACCCAAAAAGTTGGCATGGCTTTGAAATTTAATGAAAAAATAGTGACTTTTCCATCCACGTTTTCTATTTTCTTTGATCTTTCCCACATCTCTATGAAGCTGTTGTGATTGCATGTAATCTGAATAGTTTTCTCACAGTCTTGCTATTTGAAATGTTTAATGTTTTCTCATATGACGTGGAGAACTACTCAAACACAAAATCTCAAATCCTATTTTTTTCACATACTTATATAACCACATGCACACAAATATCCTTACCTTTCACCAGGTACTACACATAATTAAAGATATAGTAATAAACATTTTAGGAAGATGTAAGGTTAATAGAATTCATTATCTCTACTACTAGGTTATAATTAACAGCAATTATTTACTGAGTACTTGTTTTATACCAGATTCATAGTGTTTCTATAACACTACACAAACATCTGGCATTTTGGTGCATGAATTACAAAAATTCTAATAGATATATTGTGGAATCGCATTGTGAAAATTTTAATTTGCATTTTCCTAATGAAAGTGATTTTGAGCATTTTTTTCATATACATATTTGCCATTTGTATATTTTCCTTTGGTGAATGAAAAATATCAAATACTGGCAAGATAAGAAACAAAAGAAACTCTCATCCACTGCTGGTGAGAATACAAATTGGCATGGTCGCTTTCAAAGGCATAACTATGGCAATTTCTTATAAAGTTAAACATACTCTTAGCATATGACCCAGCAATCCTACTCCTAAGTATTTACCCAAGTGAAGTGAAAACACTGATGTTCACACAAAAAACTGTAATGACTGTTTAGAGCAGCTTTATGCATAATCACCAAAAAATGGATATAATCAAGATGTCCTCTGACAGGTTACTAGATTATCAAACTATGGAATACTATGGAATTCTACAGCCAATGGAACACTGCTCAGCTATAAGAAAGAAATGAACTACCAATACACATGAAAGAATCTCATATAATTATGCTTAGTGAAAGAAGCCAGATATATAAGTGTACTACGTACTGTACGATTCCATTTTATATAAAACTCTAGGAAATACAAACTAATCTATAGTGACAGCAGATCAGCATTTGCTTGGGGAAGGAGAAGTGGGGAACAGTGGGAGGGAGAGAGATTACAAAGGGGGCACAAGGAGACTTTTGAGGATGATGTGTATGTTCACTATATTGAGGGCAGTAATGGTTCCATGGGTAGGTACATATGTCAGAATTCATCAGTCTGTACTGTACAAATATGTGTACTTTGTCATATGCCAATTAAACCTTGATAAAGCTGTTTTCCAAAATAAAAATAAAGTGGGCCTAAGTTGATAATGATCCTAGGTATGTGGTACCACAAAACCATGCTGTAAGGAACATGAACTCTTAAAAATTGCAGAGCAATCACTGCATGATTAGCATTGAATGATTAGCATCCTGTTGGGCCTCATCTGCAACTTTTAGCCCACATTCCTACTTTAGATTCAGGCAGTTCTGGACCACAGGAAGTTCCTCAAACACACAAGGTACTATCTTACAAGTCTTCCTCCCTCAAGCATCAGCATAAATGTTGCTTCCTCCAAAAAGAAAAAATTTCCCTGACCTCTATATAAATTCTGTTTCCCTCCAATTTCCTTCCTAACTCCCCCAAAACTTTAAAATAGGAAGACCTGGGCACTTTTTCTCCTATGTTCTTATTGTATCTTATACATAACATGTAATATGTTATGATGATTATAATTAGTAATAATTATGTATGTACAGTGTCTCTTTACAAGATTGTAGACTTGAGGACAAGGACTGTGTTTTTTCATCTTTGTAATCCTAATACTAACAATAGCAGTAGGGACATGCAAAGTATATAGGAACTTGAATGAAAAACAACCGAATGAACAAATGGAGGGACTAAATTTTCCTTGAGGACTTGACCTGAATGAGCAGGAGATGCTCAATAACAGGTGTTATATTTAATTCAAAAGTAAATATTAAAATTTGTTTCAAAACCTATGTGACCCCTTTTGATTATTCCTTTTAATCACACAGTATTTCTCAACAGCTATGGGCATTTGGGTGACACAATTTCTCATTCTGTACCACTGTTCTAAGCACTGTAGAATGTTTAGCATTCCTGGACCTGACCTCGCTATATATCAGTGATGGTCTCTAGTCATTGTGACACTCCTCCACACATTTCCAAATCCCCCCTCCCCACCAGGAAAGGGGACAATACTACTTCTCAGTTGAAAATCATTACTTTACTTAGAAGTCAAGCAGAGAAAGTCAATTATCACTTATTTGTGGAACATAAGGAATAGCACAGAGGACATTAGGAGAAGGAAGGGAAAAATGAAGGGGGAGAAATCGGAGGGGGAGATGAACCATGAGAGACGATGGACTCTGAGAAACAAACTGAGGGTTCTAGAGGGGAGGGGGGTGGGGGATGGGTTAGCCTGGTGATGGGTATTAAAGAGGGCATGTATTGCATGGAGCACTGGGTGTTATACACAAACAGTGAATCATGGAACACTACATCAAAAACTAATGGTGTACTGTATGGTGACTAATATAACATAATAAAATTAAATTAAATTAAAAAAAGAAAATCATTACTTTAGTGAGAAGAACTGATTTATCATCAAATGTCAATTCAGCTTAAAAATTGTCATTCCATCACCCTTTGATGGAGTCTTATAATTCCATTAAATCTTAAGAGTTTTCTGAGTAAGAGAGTATATTCAAAACCATAAAAACAAAAGAAAGTAGTAAAGCAGACAGGGATACCTCTTAGCCACATCGCTGGGTTTCTCCCCTGCTTTGTTCGTAATATTACTGTCTGCTCCCATTTTAATTATCCACTGCAAACACTCTATGTGGCCTTGCCCAGCAGCTGTTCAAAAAACAAACAAAAAAACAGAAAATACACACAAAAAGTTATTGTCATTAGTAAAAATTGTCTGATATCTCGGACAATAACATTAGAGAGTATTCATAAATACTGATCCTTGTAATAACCAACAAAAGTTGGGCAGATGTTATTCTCTGTTCATTTATGTATGTATTATTCATTAGACAAACAATCAAAAATCTACTGTACTCAGCCCCTATACAGAGGACTTTACATACAGATATAAAAGTTGAAGCTCAAAGAGGTTATTTATTTAACATCACGCAGCATGCAAGTAATGGGTTTGAAACTATAATCTAGGTTTTCCCAATCCTTATCCAATGTTCATGTACTGCTATCTATAGCTTCTGACGAATCTTGCACCTGACCAGAATATGAGCACAAGCCAGCCACAGGGACCCACACTGACTTCGAAAATCTTGTGTCATCTTATGTAAACAGGTTATTCTTCTGACTCTCACAACTCAAAATTTACAGGCCCCTCAGTAATTACCTGAACTGTTTACCACCTTTTTCTAAATCTTGTCCTTAACACATGTACTCAGGATTACTTTTCACCTCCACAACTCTGTTTACGTGTCTTCTTGCCTAGTGCCCAGCACTCAGTTAATATGTTCATCTAACTTCTATCCACCCTTCTAGATCCATCTGAAGATTCAGGGAAACTGGGGGGAAAAACAATAGATTTAACTGACTTTAGGTCTACTAAACAGTGAGACTGGAGGACAGGACAGAACTTAGCAAGTGGCTGGCATATAGAGACCCTCAATAAATATCTATAAAGTTGATGAATGAATAAGTGAATGAGAATATTAAGAAAATGTCAGCTTTGCTCTTACCAGATATGTAAGCTCAGTCAAGAAAACGGATCCCTCTGGACCTCAATTTCCTCATCTTTTACAGAGATGATTTCATATTTAGAAGGAGGGTTCATAAAATTACAATAAGTACCATACAAACATAAGGTATTATTTCTGAATTCCCACAAACACTTCTCTAATAATTTAACCCTTACCAACTTCTGTTCCTCAGTTTCTACTCCTGAATTCCTACTGCATGTATTTTAAGAACAAAATACTTTCTGCCATTAATTACATTCTGACTTCTACAAATCTCTAGTTGTTCATTATTTAAGTATGTAGCTCCTTAACAGTAAGGTCTAGATTTCGTAATGTCTACGTGGTGCAGACATATGACTGGTGCTGACTCTAAGTGCCTCTGTAAAATGAATCAAAGACTAAGAACTTTGGGGGAGGGGGTGGGGGGAGGGGTTAGCCTGGTGTGGGTATTAAAGAGGGCACGTATTGAATGGAGCACTGGGTGTTATACGCAAACAGTGAATCATGGAACACTACATCAAAAACTAATGATGTAATATATGGAGATTAACATAATAAAATAAAATAAAAAAAAAAGACTAGGAACTTTTGGTATAGCTCTAGTGCCTCAAAATGTGAATCCACCTCCAATACTGGCAACAGAGAAAAGAGGACACAAAGTCAGATACAGTGACAAAGTAAGAACTCTTCTGCCCTTCTCTAGTTCACTCAGAGCCATCAGAGTTGGCCCCTGAAAATCCTGGGCTTTCTTGCTCTCCTCTAGAGCAAATCCAAAACCAGTTAAAAACAGTACAAGAGGGGCGCCTGGGTGGCTCAGTCATTAGACGTCTCTGCTTTCTGCTCAGGTCATGATCCCGGGGTCCTTGGATCGAGCCCCACATCGGGCTCCCTGCTCGGTGGGAAGCCTGCTTCTCCCTCTCCCACTCCCCCTGCTTGTGCTCCCTCTCTCACTGTGTCTCTCTCTGTCAAATAAATAAATAAAATCTTTAAAAAAAAAAAAGTACACAATTTCCCAGACCTCTAGAAATAACCTCACTTTAGACAAAAACAGCAACAAACTCCATCTTTAAGAGTTATAAAATGGTATTTACGAATCATGGATAATTGTTTTATGTAAGATAGAATGAGTTTAACCCAACATTTCCATTTTATTACACAGGTAATGTTTACAAAGAGGGGGAAGGGAGGCTAAGTAATTTCTCTAAAATGAAATGCAATAAAAGGATTTTTACCCAAGATCCTTATTGTATATTGGTTAGGATATGTTGATTAATTTTGTCAGTGTTTTATAAGAGAACAGATAAAATTATGCTGTGGCTAGAAATTTTTAAGAAATCATTTGAAATACTTATTGTTTAGCAAAGGAAAGAAAGGAGCAGTCACAGTGGATTTAACAATCATTAAATGACTAAGAAGAATGCCTCAATAATAAACACCACAACTTATTTACTGAATCAAAATTAAAATTAAAGAAAAAGAAGCAGAGAGATTAATAAATATGGAAAATGTGAGTTAAGTTATAAAGTGACATCAACTTTTATTTACCCAAATTGGATATAATCTAAACATAGAGATGTTCACCAGGAAAGGCAAATGCACACAAAACACCCCTTCCCCTACTTGTTGCCACTTATCGCCCCCCCATCACACCCCCTGATCCACCCCTGGCCCTAGGAATCCTCAATGGACAGACTGACAAGACAAGGGGTGAAGGGCAAACACTTTTGGTTCCTCAATTCACCCTCGCATCTTCTCACAATGGCTGCATCCCAAACACCCTATTGTTATATATCAAGTCCTTTAGAACCTACTTCCAGATCCCTCATTTCAATCTTAGTTCCAGTGGCGAAGAAATGACTAAGAAAGGCTGAAAACCAGCCATCAATGAAACTTAATTCTTCCTGTGAAGATGCAATATAAGCACCATGATCACACTTATCTTTTGCTACAGTGTCTGAATGATACCCAATATATACATTAGTAATAAAAAGTGGTTATATCTAGGATATGAAATGGGGGCTTCGCTCCAGGGCACCACATTTTAAAATATATATATACATACACATAGCACATATTTTAAGTTTCCTCCCCATTCACAAATACCATGGTGAAGAGTTAAACCCCTAGACAGCCAGCTAAGATGGAGGAGCGAGATTTTCCAAGTCTAGGATAGAATGTTTGCCAAAATAGGAACCTCTCTGTGTGTAGGAGAAAACCCCTTTGCATTCCCCTTCTTCTTATTTCACCTAACCTCTCTTATAAAACTATTGGTACACATGATGTTTAGATTCTATACTGGAGATTCATTATGAAGTAAACCAACTTTACCAATTAAACTAAGAACCTAACCAACAGGAACATAATCTGTGATTGGGACCATCAGAAGTTATTTATAAAATAAAATCTAATTTGAACACATGACTGCATTAACTACCTTAACTGTCTTTTTACTCTAACCTTTTTTTTTAAAGGTTAAGTAATCTCTATGCCCAACGTGGGGCTAGAACTCATGACCCCAACTTCAAGGGTCACATGCTCTATTGACTGAGCTGGCCAGGTGACCCTTTAATGTTTTTACAAGAATTACCTGTCATTACATTATGAAATGACTTATAATATCACAAATGAAGCAGAATAGAAATTTCATATGCATTAAGTTAAAGATTTGGTTTTTGATTTTATAAATAAAAGGAAGACTGGCAAGAATAAATCCTAGAGTATGAACTCCCAAATAAGGAGTTGACAATTTGACAAAGTCTGATTAATTAATATTTTAGAATTCCACAGTGAAGGAAGGAGAGAATGCAGACAAAAGTGGCGGACATCTTGAAAATGTGTTTAAATCTAAAGTTCATTGGTATTTCTGTAAAAGTAAAAACATTTTTGCAGAGTACAAGAAGAAAATTCTGTTATACCTTTTTTCAAATTCTACTATACCTTTTTCATGCTTTAGCAAGAATTAATAGATCACTTTTAGTCCAAAGAAAATATTAGTCCCAAGAAACTTCTCCAGCAGTGAATTTCATATCTTATCATGTCAATGTCTTAAGAGATATTCCACTGGAATTACCCTAAATGTGATAGTGAATTTCTAGCATCATAAAAGGAGTATCACAATTGAATTGAAAATTAAGTACTCTGTGTACCATATAAGGTAGACTGATATCCCTTAGGGTATTAGGAAAAGTTTTACATTTTAAAAGGTAAATAACTTCAACAGTAATTATGTCAGAACTGAAAATGAAGCAGGAATCATAACTCACCTTTATGCATAGGAGTTGAACCATTATTATCCCGTTCATTAATATTGATTACTCCATCTTCTATTAATTTCTTAAGCATTTCCAAATCACCCTTAAAGGCAGCCACATGACCTGGGAATGCTAAGGCTATGAATAAAAATTCACATTTCAGTAAATACATGCGTTCATTCTTCTTCCCTGCCTTAAGCAGTCACACATTTCAGATTTCAATATTAAGTATGACAATGTTATACTGGTATTAGTTTAACCGATGCAATGACAAGTAATAAAAAGAGAATCATAAGATAAGATTATTATTAATTGTGTAGCCATTTCTCCCCACAGGACTTCAAACATGCCAAGAGTATACTATACCAGAACTATTCTTAGCCATATTCCATTATTTCCTCAGACCAACACAAAACACAAGAAGATGGCCATTTTCAACCCTTTGTATAAAGACATACTTTGTCTAAAGTCCTACATTTGCACAGACCACTCCCTCTCTGTTTGCAAGGAAGTGAAGAAAGCAAAATAAACTGGAAGCAGATAAAGTATATGTATATATACAAACACATATACATATACATATGCTTCTGTAAATGTACCTGACCTAGTGCCTAACCATAAATACTTGAGAAAATGTTTTTAATATAACAACCACATATATTGAGTCCTTACTGAATGCCAGACAAGGATGGTAGTAAGCCTTTGTAGGGAATGCCTCATTATAACCCTCTTAACAACTATGAGATATAGTTATAATCATTTTTATTTTATTTGTTTTTAATTTTTTATTATTATGTTAATCACCATACATCATTAGTTTTTTATGTAGTGTTCCATGATTCATTCTTTGTGCATAACACCCAGTGCTCCATGCAGAACGTGCCCTCTTTAATACCCATCACCAGGCTAACCCATCCCACCACCACCCTCCCCTCTAGAACCCTCAGTTTGTTTTTCAGAGTCCATTGTCTCTCATGGTTCGTCTCCTCCTCCGATTTACTCCCCTTCATTCTTCCCCTCCTGCTATCTTTTTTTTTCTTAATTTATATTGCATTATTTGTTTCAGAGGTACAGATCTAGGATTCAACAGTCTTGCACAATTCCCAGCGTTCACCATAGCACATACCCTCCCCAATGTCTATCACCAAGCCACCCCATCCCTACCACGCCCCCACCACTCCAGCAACCCTCAGTTTGTTTCCTGAGATTAAGAATTCCTCATATCAGTGAGGTCATATGATACATGTCTTTCTCTGATTGACTTACTTCACTCAGCATAACACCCTCCAGTTCCATCCACGTCGTTGCAAATGGCAAGATCTCATTCCTTTTGATGGCTGCATAATATTCCATTGTGTATATATACCACCTCTTCTTTATCCATTCATCTGTTGATGGACATCTTGGCTCTTTCCACAGTTTGACTATTGTGGACATTGCTGCTATGAACATTGGGGTGCACGTACCCCTTCGGATCCCTACATTTGTATCTTTGGGGTAAATACCCAGTAGTGCAATTGCTGGATCGTAGGGTAGCTCTATTTTCAACTGTTTGAGGAACCTCCATACTGTTTTCCAGAGTGGCTGCACCAGCTTGCATTCCCACCAACAGTGTAAGAGGGTTCCCCTTTCTCTGCATCCCCGCCAACATCTGTCATTTCCTGACTTGTTAATTTTAGCATTTCTGACTGGTGTGAGGTGGTATCTCATTGAAGTTTTCATTTGGATTTCCCTGATGCTGAACGATGTTGAGCACTTTTTCATGGGTCTGTTGGCCATTTGGATGTCTTCTTTGGAAAAAAGTCTGTTCGTGTCTTCTACCCATTTCTTGATTGGACCATTTGTACTTTGGGTGTTGAGTTTGATAAGTTCTTTATAGATTTTGGATGCTAGCCCTTTATCTGATATGTCATTTGCAAATATTTTCTCCCATTCTGTCGGTTGTCTTTTGGTTTTGTGGACTGTTTCTTTTGCTGTGCAAAAGCTTTTTATCTTGATGAAATCCCAATAGTTCATTTTTGCCCCTGCTTCCCTTGCCTTTGGCGATGATTCTAGGAAGAAGTTGCTGCGGCTGAGGTCGAAGAGGTTGCTGTCTGTGTTCTCCTTTAGGATATTGATGGACTCCTGTCTCACGTTTATGTCTTTCAACCATTTGGAGTCTATTTTTGTGTGTGGTGTAAGGAAATGGTCCAGTTTCATTCTTCTGCATGTGGCTGTCCAATTTTCCCAACACCATTTGTTGAAGAGACTGTCTCTTTTCCATTGGACATTCTTTCCTGCTTTGTCAAAGATGAGTTGACCATAGAGTTGAGAGTCCATTTCTGGGCTCTCTATTCTGTTCCATTGATCTATGTGTCTGTTTTTGTACCAGTACCAGACTGTCTTGATGATGACAGCTTTGTAATAGAGCTGGAAGTCTGGAATTGTGATACCTCAAGCTTTGCTTTTCTTTTTCAACATTCCTCTGGCTATTCGGAGACTCTTCTGGTTCCATACAAATCTTAAGATTATCTGTTCCATTTCCTTGAAAAAAGTGGATGGTATTTTGGTGGGGATTGCATTGAATGTGTAGATCGCTCTAGGTAGCATTGACACCTTCACAATGTTCCTCCAATCCATGAGCATGGAACGCTTTTCCATTTCTTTGTGTCTTCTTCAATTTCTTTCATGAGTATTTTATAGCTTTCTGAGTACAGATCCTTTGCCACTTTGGTTAAATTTATTCCTAGGTATCTTATGGTTTTGGATGCAATTGTAAATGGGATCGTCTCCTTAATTTGTCTCTCCTCTGTCTTGTTGTTGGTGTATAGGAATGCCACAGATTTCTGTGCACTGATTTTATATCCTGCCACTTTACTGAATTCCTGTATGAGTTCTAGCAGTTTTGGGGTGGAGTCTTTTGGGTTTTCCACATACAGTATCATATCATCTGCAAAGAGTGAGAGTTTGACTTCCTCTTTGCCGATTTGGATGCCATTAATTTCTTTTTGTTGTCTGATTGCTGTGGCTAGGACTTCTAATATTATGTTGAATAGCAGTGGTAATAGTGGACATCCCTGCCATGTTCCTGATTTAGGGGGAAAGCTCTCAGCTTTTCCCCATTGAGAATGATATTCGCTGTTCGTTTATCATAGATGGCTTTTAGGATATTGAGGTATGTACCCTCTATCCCTATCCTCTGAAGAGTTTTGATCACGAAAGGATGCTGTACTTTGTCAAATGCTTTTTCTGCATCTATTGAGAGGATCATAAGGTTCTTGTTCTTTCTTTTGTTAATGTATTGTATCAGGTTGATTGATTTGCAGATGTTGAAACAGGCTTGCAGCCCAGGGATTAAATTCCACTTGGTCGTGGTGAATATCCTTTTAATGTACTATTGTATCCTATTGGCTAGTATTTTAGTGAGAATTTTTGCATCCATGTTCATCAAGGATATTGGCCTGTCATTCTCCTTTTTGATGGGGTCTTTGTCTGGTTTGGGGATCAAGGTAATAGGGGCCTCATAAAATGAGTTCTGAAGTTTTCCTTCCATTTCTATTTTTTGGAACAGTTTCAGGAGAATAGGTGTTAATTCTTCTTTAAATGTTTGGTAGAATTCCCCTGGGAAGCCATCTGGCCCTGGGCTCTTGTTTGTTGGGAGATTTTTGATGACTGCTTCAATTTCCTTAGTGGTTATAGGTCTGTTCAGGTTTTCTATTTCTTCCTGGTTCAATTTTGGTAGTTGATACATCTCTAGGAATGCATCCATTTCTTCCAGGTAATCTAATTTGCTGGCATAGAGTTGCTCATAATATGTTCCTATAATTGTTTGTATTTCTTTGGTGTTGGTTGTGATCTCTCCTCTTTCATTCATGATTTTGTTGATTTGGGTCATTTCTCTTTTATTTTGGATAAGTCTGGCCAGGGGTTTATCAATCTTGTTAATTCTTTCAAAGAACCAGCTCCTAGTTTAACTGATCTGTTCTACTGTTCTTTTGGTTTCTAGTTCATTGATTTCTGCTCTGATCTTTATAATTTCTCTTCTCCTGCTGGGTTCAGGCTTTATTTGCTGTTTTTTCTCTAACTCCTTTAGGTGTAGGGTTAGGTTGTGTATTTGAGACCTTTCTTCTTTCTTGAGAAAAGCTTGTATTCCTATATACTTTCCTCTTAGGACTGCCTTTACTTTATCCGAAAGATTTTGAACAGTTGTGTTTTCATTTTCATTGGTTTCCATGAAT